TCAAAGACGTCGTCAGGATCCTCAGGCCCGATGGGGTCTTCGGCTGTATCACACCGCATGTCGACCATATAGGCTGGATCGCGGACGTGAGGTCAGCATTCGCATCCTTCCCGTTTGACGCGCCGTTCGAGGAGAAGAACCGTGCGCAGGTTCACGATGTCGGGCGGTGGTACGACGAGGCTTGGGTCAAGGGGTATCTACAGGACAATGGGTTCAAGGACGTCAAGACGTGTTTGGAGAGCGGGACGGTGAGGGTGAGGGACGCGAGGCACTGGTTGGATGTGTTTGGGCCGGTTGTTGCGTTGATTGTGAACACGGAGTGGAGTGAGGAGTTGAGGGGAGAGCATGGGCTGGAGGAGGTGAAGGGTTTGATTAAGGAGCATTTGGAGGGGAAGTATGGGGGGAAGGGGTGGGATGTTGGGTTTGCTTGTATTGTTGCTTCTGGTACTGTTGTGAAGTAAGGTAGGGATGAGGTTATCCGGAGGAGGATGAGAGTCTTCAGGATGTGTTAGACTGGGCAACTGGAGGGTTGTAGGCAAGATGTTGCCAGAACCGAATTGGGAGACAAATTTGAGTACAAAACGGGCATGCAAAGCTAACCTGGTCACTTGTAGGTAGTCATGTCTCAGACGAAGCCATGATGAAAACAGTTCCGGGTGCGCGGGGTGCCTCACAACCAACATTGTGGCGTTTGTTTGTGCGGCTGATGTGTCTTATTTGATCCCATACCTCACTTATTTTCTCTCATGAGCTGAAAACAAAGTTATTTGCTAAATGTCACGGCTTGGCTAGCCCTACGGACTCACGTTATTATTCGTCAATACACGATCTTGGTGAATTTGCCTGTCGCACACTCGTGATGTACGGTAGCCGCATCTGGCTCGGGCCGGACCTGAGGGAGGGATAGTGAAACTATAGGTATGGACCAAAGTGAATGCTAAGATGCCATCTAAGAACGACATGTCTAGTGCAAACCTCACAAGTAAAGACATGAACATTGAGAAGTACTAATGTTGTCTCTCTAAACCATAGCCAATGCCCGTGCATGGTGTAAGACATGGGCGGATTCGAGGCCAACGGCTCGAAGTCGTAAAAGTTGGCGATGCCTCTTTTGGAACAAGCCGTCCGCTGTTGACGAGGTGAGTCGAAATTCACCAAGGCATCCCCCTTGGCAAAAGCCTTTGGCGCCGCAAACGACTCAGAAAAGCAGAAGTATAAAAGTCCTGATACTTCTTGAGTGCCCTGTGTATTCCTTGATTGCTCTAGGCTGTCCCCTTCATTAGTTAAAACGCGAGATTGTTAGGGTTGATCGATCCTCTTCATGATGCTGTCACTTGGGCGTTTCGTCGGCGTACTTGCCCTTCTCGCTCCCGTTGCGCAGACAGCGCCGACTAAAGAAGTTCTTGCAGAAACTCAGAGGAACTGCAGCAGGGTCCAAGTAGCCATTCTCGGTGCTGGCCTCGCAGGAATTACGGCTGCGCAAACACTGGTAAATGCGTCCATCACAGATTTTGTCATCGTTGAGTACAATAATCGGATTGGTGGACGCGTTTACAATCGACCCTTTGGGAAGAAGCCGGGCACGAATGAGTCCTATTTTGTAGAGCTTGGTGCGAACTGGTATGCAGCTCCAGAATAATTTTGGTGTTTTTTCTGAGCAGCCTGCTTACATCGCCAACAGGGTTCAAGGAACGGAAAGTGACACAGAGGAAAATCCAATTTTGACTCTGGTTAAGAAGTACAACTTGACAAATACGCTTTCCAATTTTGATAACGTCACAGTCTTCAACGAGACTGGCCAATTACCGCCCGGAGAATGGACAGATAAGTTCGAGAAGTTGGACAAGTTACTTGAGGATGTCACGACACAGTACGAGTTTGACGCTGGCGAGATCATTCTGAAAAATCAGCAAGACCGCAGTGCCCGTGCCGGTCTCGCGATTGCAGGCTGGAAGCCGGGCAGTGATCCGCTAGCACAAGCTATCGAATGGTCTGCCATAGACTTCGAATATGCCAATCCACCGGAGAAGACATCCCAACAGTACTCCGTAGTCAACACCAACACATCATTCCAGCGCTGGGCTAATAAGAACAATCTGGTACACGATGGTCGGGGGTTCGCTACGTTCTTCAGGGAAGAAGCGAAGCTTTTCCTGAACGAGACCACCCAGCTGAGGCTTGGGACTATGGTCCAGAACATTACCTACTCTGACGACAGTGTCACAGTACATAACCAGGACGGCACTTGCATCGTCGCCGACTACGCCATCTGCACTTTTTCACTGGGTGTCTTGCAGAAGGAGGTGGTCAACTTCTCGCCGAAGCTGCCGCCTTGGAAACGAACGGCCATTCAGTCGATGACCATGGGTACCTACACGAAGATCTTCATGCAGTTCAAACCGGAAGACGTGTTCTGGGACAAGAGTACTCAATTCTTCCTCTACGCAGATCCGGTACAGCGAGGCTACTATCCCTACTTTCAGTCACTGGATCACAAAGACTTTGTGGACGGCTCCGGCATCATCTTTGTCACCGTCGTCGACCAGCAATCTTACACCGTGGAGGCTCAGGACTTTGATACTACGAAGAAACAAATCATGGACGTTCTGAAGGACATGTTTCGAAAAGAGATCCCCGATCCCATTGACTTTTATTATCACAACTGGACTCGCGAACCTTGGGCATACGGGTCATACTCGAACTGGCCTCCGGCCCTGACGTTGGAGATGCATCAAAACATCCGCGCCAATCTCGGAAACTTGTGGTTTGCTGGCGAGGCCACTCACCCGCAGTACTTTGGCTTCTTACAAGGTGCATATTACGAGGGGAAGAACGCGGGTGAAGCTGTTTCTGGGTGCATCAAGAACAAGGATGACTGTGTGAACCTGAGATCGGTGGCGTACGATGTGTTAAATGGAACGACTACCATTGAAAAATATTCAAGGGTCAATGGATGGACTGCTCAAACCTTTGTGAATATAGTTGGCATCAACATCAAGAGGATCTTGGGCTTATCGAAGAAGTAGAAGCAATAAAGAATAGCAGCAGTAGCGGCAGCAGCAGCAGCCGTCGCCATTTTATCGAGGTTTGACTAGCAACAACCATTCAAATATTCGAGAATTTCGCGGATTTGATTGCGGTGAAAAGCCCAATGAAGTAATCTTCAGTATCTGACTAGATAAGAGCACCAACCTATCGTGGAAAATATGTGTAAATAGTCGTAAATATAAGCAACTTAATCCTCGAGTCTAATAAGGTAGAGTGTCTATGTAGTCCGGTGACTACCGACTGGAAGAACTCTTTATAGGCTGCTTTGAACGCTTCTAAGACACCGAGACTTCCTTCAATGACTGTTCATTCAACTGAAGGATGTTGGCAAAAGTCATAAGCATCGCTGAGGGACTGGGGAGAGGACTTATCACAAGCCATGGATTTGGACCACCTTTCAGTGTTCTTGGCAACCAGGAGTCTGCTAACATGACCATTCAAGTACCTTAATTCAAGCTCCTTCAGGTATGATTATCTCCAAAGTTAAGGGCAGAGGACTCATGCGGATGTAGTCGAATGTACTTAGTGACTTCTGTCTTAAAGATCTCGTAGGTTGTGCGAATTATCAATTTTATTATCGACGACTATTTGAAGACATTGCTTAGTATTGGTACCTTAGTCATTGCAAAATCGCTTTGATGGCGCCGTTCTGGTTAATATGTTAAGTTCCTACTCCTCGGAGCTGATCACGAGAACACAAAATCCGTTTGACCTATTCCAGCAGCACCCGGTACTTTAATCACTTCACATCTGTTAGGCAGTCTTCTTGGCAAACATCTCAGTCTAACCCAATGAGGCAGGCTCAAGCTCAACAGGTACAACTCGGTCAATACTACGTAAGAGCTCATAAACTCGGTGTTTCTAAGAGGGAAAATTGGCCGGGCTGGAGAATTAGAGAGCTCGACAGATAAGAATTATCGTTCTGTTAATCTGGAATCGGGCCCAAGGGTCTATCAGTTCACCTGGTGTTACTCATCTCGTGATGGTCAAGATGTGAGAAGGCACCAGTGGGCTTGAAAAGGACATGCTTTCTGACGCGGGACTCAAATTGTACGAAGCGAGAGGGGAAGCACCAACGAGGTGAGTCGTCGGGGGAGAGTGACGGCGTCAGGCGAACACCCCTTTGCCAACCTGGTCCGTTGATGGGCGCGAACCATGCTGAGCCACAGAATAACTGATATGCACGCAATCCCCCTCACTGCTCAATACTGCGCTTCAAGCACCGGAACCCAGTATGTGGACTCGCGCTTTTCGCGCTTAGCTAGACCAGCATAGTCCGCGGACGGGGGACCAGCACTTGCGTTGATTGACTTAAAGTACCTTATTTCCATCCAGCAACAGCAGGATTCAGTCACCGTACTCAGAGAGAGACACATCAATGCGAGAACCCTGGCTCCACTGCCCAATGAGCCAAGCCCATTCCCAAAGCTGTCCCGGAACCCGGAACGGGAAGACTTAAAGGACCTGGGGGACTTTTAGCAGATCATCCCAGAGGTTGGACTTATTGTCAAGCTAGCGCGGTATCATTCGGCTTCACTGCCCGTGTTGTCGGCCTGCGATGCATTCCTTGAGCATCTTCGCTCCTGAACAACGAGAACTTGCCAAAGTAGTAGAGCAGTTCCGCGGGCTTACTTAACATCAGCTGCCCCCGTGCTGTGAAGCCTTTGCTATTTTTACGTTTGTTGCCCATTACGCCTTCGTAGACCTTTGACATCTTACTCATCGCCATTCTTAGCTACACACTCCGTGCTATCATGGCGCGAGAGACACCCGATGCAGACATGCATGGTTTCCCTCCAATTTCCACTTCCTCCTTCCCCCGCATTTTGATTTCAGATCACAGTGAAGCGGAACCTTGCACGCCATTCTTCTCTTACGACGGTTTGATTGACTTCGGGAATACTCTTCTAGCACCTGGCGGGGCCCCTGAAGTTCAAGACTCAGACCATTTCATGAACAACAGCCTCGGTCCTCTAATGTTGCAGGTCAAGTCGGAATCGATTCAGTCTCAAAATGGACCTGACTGCTGGTTTTCGCCCTGGAGCCTTCCAGGGGGTGGCGCTGCCGACACAATCGGCGAGTCGCCCTCCTCTCCCCTCACTCAGACACTCCCGAGCCCTCAGTCAAGCATATCCCCCGCAAGCACGGCCTCCTTGGGACGATCTCGCGTTATCACCGAACAAGAATGGGAGGCTCGAAAGCCAGACATCGAGAAGTTATACATGAGAGACTGCCTCTCGAGACAGGCCACCGAGCGCATTATGGCCGAGCAATACCAATTCTTCGCGAGGTAGGTGAAGGTCACAGACCAGATCGCGGATCTCTAACTAACGCCCATGCTTGCAGTTCAAGGCAGTACAAGGGACGATTCCAGAAATGGAAGTGGAGGAAAAACAACACCAAAGCCGTTCAACAGGATGTACTCGCTGGCAGATCCTTCACAATCTCAAACGGGCCAACGTCGCGAAGACATGGCCGATCACAGTCGAAAATCAAGAAGGTCACTGAGGCAATTCCATCGCCAATGCCTAATGGACAACTTGAACTCTCCGCTACACTTCTACAATGTATGAGAGACCTCATTCACAGATCTTGGAAAGAAGACGCAGTGTGGACACAGCCGAACCGTCTTGGACGTCTGCCGGTTTACGGACATGAGCTCACGTCCAGGGTCGCCGTGGGACTGGAGCACCTCGCTGTTCAAGATACTCTAAATGGGTTTTCCGCAATTAGACACATGTTCCGGGGCCTCGACGATCTTGTCAAGAAGAGCGACATCACTATCTACGCCACCTTGCTTCTAGACATCCCAATCACATTCTACGAGTTCAAGGACGAGCCCTTGGACGAACGCCGTTTGCTCAACATCTACTTCCTCTACCTCCAATGTTTACTCAGGCACTACGGCAAAGGAGGCAGTCCCATCGCAGACGCCGCGCATGCTATGGCTCAGCTTATAGACAAATACTACGATGAGGCTCAGGCCTTTTTGCCTCAACTGTACAGAGTTGTAGCTGACAGCTACCGAGATGTTCAGGGTTGCGATACATTCGATAACATTGAGAGGCGCATTGAGGCTGTGAAAGCTGTTGGCGGCACTTCCAATGCAGCGGAAACGGAGAACATCATCATTGCCTTGGATAACATGCAGTTTCTCGCCGCCACAAATCAAGGTTCGCTCCAGTCGCCCAACATGATCGAGTACGAACTCTGGAAGATTGAACTTCTGCGGTCTATCGAACCTGGCGGCAAATTTGTGGATCGCTGCAACAGACTGCTGAATCGCATCAAGTCAGCTGCTATCGATAAGGAGTGGCGTCTTTGGGAATCCTGGCTGCTGTGGATTTCTGGAGAGGTCATATACGAGCTCTGTAGATTCTTCGACGACGCTGGGGACGATGATGGGTGGGCTGAGAATCTGGAGAGCTGTATCTTGCGGTTTAGGTGTGCGATCACCAAGGATGACACCTGGGAAGAGCTGCTAGGGCCAAGGGTGATGATATATCGAGCTCAGTTGGTCATTTTTTGGACAAAGAGGGGAAAGCTTGATCGGGCTGAGAGTCACAAACGGTCCATTGGGAGCTCGGCTTTCTGGGAGGCAGTCTTGAGAGAGGATTCGGAGGCGATCGCTGGTCTTTCTTAACTATGACTGTGCTTTTCTTTGCAGTTATAGGGTTAAATATGCGTAACGCCGAAGGCACTCAGGCTATTTAAGTAGTTCAAGCTACTCGTCAATAAGTACTCAACATCTACAACTCGACGCATATTTTCCCCGACGAAGTGGTCTTCCTTGGTCCTTTGAGTGAGGGGCAGCCTGATATGGATGCGGCCTTGCTTCACCGGCAAGGCATGATTTCCATCGTTTTCATTGAGTAACAAGAGGGAATTACATGACAAAGATCATGGCCCTTCTCGCGACATGCTGATGGCACTCGGCGTGTTGGACCACTTACTAATCCACGCAGAGTGAAGAGAAGGGAGTAGAGATGTTGTCGACGAAGGCGGGAAATCTTAACTCCCCCAAAAGCCGGGGCGGAGCCGCCTTTTCGAGGTACACTGTACCTCCCTGCTGATCCAGTCAAGAGGCCGCCAACAGACGAGGCGTTCTTGCATAAAAGGCCCTCTTCGATCCTGGTGGACGAATCTGCAATGATTGATAAGAACCAATCCAACTGAGACATGTGTGACCAGTCGAATGACGGCCAAGGCGCAGTACTTTTATGCATGGGCCTTTAGATGCAGGGCAGGTGCTGCGGCTTACAGCGCGTCTTTTCATAATACGTGAGTAGGGCGAAGTCTTAGCCAATCAATATCAATAACGAGATGATGGTGAGCTACTTCACGTAGACCTTCAGCCTAAGGCATATTCAGTTCTCCGAAACTAGGAAATCGCATCAAGTAGTATGGACGTGCTGCATTATTCAGTGATGAATTACTCATCATATCCAGGCAGATAAATTCTAGCGGAAGACATATATGAATAAACAGTCAACATCAAAATCTGGCGTATGGCACATTGGTCGCTTGCTCCGGTTGGCAGTCTTGGAACGCAATACCTCCATCGGATTTAGAATCATCACGCGTCGAAGCGCGTTTATTTGAGTCATGGGAACAGACTGTCGGCGACGCGTTTTCAATCCATCGCGTGAAAGCGACTGGGAGGATAGGAAAGAAATTCTGTATGACCTTTACATGTTGAAGAACTTGAGCCTTGGAAAGGTAGTTGAAGAGATGTCGAACGTTCATTCATTCAGGGCTAGGTAAGCTACTCAGGAGATCCAAAAACATGAGAAACATTCTAATAAGTTTGAAATTGAAAGCGAGAGAATGTACAAGCGCAGGTTTATGAAATGGGAGTGGTTCAAATACCTCACGAAAAGATTTCAAGCAACGTCCTCGAAACCTGGGAGTAAAGTTGAGAGATGTAAAGGAAAGACGACACGGCGAACGAGGAGACACAGACAAAAACGAGATACTCGTGAAAATTTCGATATGCACAGAGGAAGCTCAGGTTTACCAGATGAACCGCTTAAGGTCTCCCGGGTCTCTTTGAAGCACATGGGATGCGAGAACCAGCCTTGGACTTCATTGCTTTCCACTGCTCCGGTCTCAAGATGGGATTTGCCCCGAAGGATAGCAGAATGGACTGCAAATTCAGAAAAGAGCCTTCCCGCAATGTCTCATTCTCTCGATGAGCCCGCACCAACGGCGAACTCGTTATGTCCTTCAACCGCTGACGATCATTCCGATGTAGTGGTCCCTCCCACTTCGAGACAAGATAATATCATGAACCCTGCCAGTTTGTTGCTAATGGGAATCTGCGTCAACTCAGTTCCCATTCTGTCAGGACGAGGGACAAACCTTCAAAACCTCGACGATTTGACTTCAGTATCCGCGAATGAGGGTTTGCAAAACCTCATAGTCGCCAATTACGACGTCAAAGACCTCATTGGGTCTCAGGCGCTCGCAACAACCATTTCAGCATCTATCAGCCCCTGCTCCGCTGGACTTACCCTAAGGTTATTCCCAAAGATCAAGATGTACGTGTGCACCACACAAGTGTATCCGAGGGAAGCTGCCTATTCAGCTTGCAGGGGAGTAAAAACGTTCTTTAGCATGGACAATCAACTCGGATACAAGAAGAACTTGCAGCAGGATGAGCGTCGGCCATTGCCGCTTCGGACATATCAAATCACATCATATATGGATGCAGGGAGTTTCACTGATGTCAATGATCTCACAGAGAGTCTGGATAAAGCTCATGAGCAGATTCGCCAGTTGCAATCCACATTAGCCGGGTTGACGGGTTGACTCGGACAATGCAAGAGTTTCGAGGGTGTTGTCACGATGCAGCATGCTTTCACTTGAGAACCGAGTCTACGCCCACAACCAAGAAAAGTAGTCAGCTGAAAGAAACCAAATTTTCTACCCTCATGATTCCGTCGCCTTCAAGAGATACTCCATCTCTGTGATAACCTAAGTAGGTTGTGCATGACTTTCTGGTCGGAGAAAGGGGCGGTACTTCCATTTACCTACCTTAGGCATCCACGTGACCCTTATCGATAGCTTATCTGGCTATCCCTTATCTGAGGCTGGGGAGCGCAGAGCTTGGGCGACAGCTGTCAAATCGATTAGAGAACCACAGTTGAACTCCGGGGAAAGCTGGCCCGGAATAGCTCCCACCCCCGTCGCGCGTCCCTCCGAGTCAAGGAAATGCCCCGGCCGATCTGCTAGGACCCTTTCTCCCTCTTGCCGCTTGCACGATCACCGACTATTCCATCCGCGCACACACATTATGGCGTCCCTCGCGCAATTACTCCTGGGCGCTGTCGCTCTCTGCGCTTCCGGCGTCCACGCTGCGCATCCCGAGGATGGTCTCCCTTCGTACCACTACGGCGCACCCATCCACGTGGAGTGCATGAACCGCAGCTCGTGAGTATCTCCCCTTAGCCGTTCCTATTCATCATCAAGAGCTTCGTCTCCACTGCCTTTAGGCTATAGCTCGAGCTCTAGCTAATGCCTCTTCAGCGAAACAGGCGAACATATCGAAAACTCCAACCACGAAATCGAATGGATCCCCTTCCCCTCCTGCGAAGAAACCAACAAGCCCCTCGAGTTCCAATACGGCCACGAGGGCGAAGTCAATTGCACCATCCCCATGGTCTCCGACCCCTTCTTCCACCTCCTCGAGTTCTTCATCCACAACGATGCACCTCTTGCCTGCCGTCTCCCAGCCCGACCCGCGCCTCACGTTGAGACCGTCGGCGAGAAGCCCTACGTGCAAGAATACATTCCTCTTGTCTTCGCCCTCGCCGGCACCCTCCAGCTGAGCCACTTGCACGTTAGCACGCACATGAACGTGCTCCTGCACAGCATGCCGAAGCACCACACCCGACCTCACGACTCGGGTGTCCTCGATTCCGGAACGGCGTATAGCACGAGTCCATTGAGCCATATGGACGGGATATACACAAAGAGACTTGTGATTGGTGATCCGTTGCCGCTGCGGTTGTCTGTTAGATGGTTTCCGACGCCGAACCTGCCAAAGTCGGAGGGCCACGTCGAGTGGCAGGGTATGGGCGGACACGTCTACGCGAGCACCGTCTTCTACATCATCACCTCGTTCATGGCAGGCGTGCTCGTCGCGTCAACGTACTTTTTCGGAGTCGTCTTGCCCAAGAGGGTACGCGGAAGAGGCATGGGCGGCGCGACGCCACTCGGTTACGGTCTCAACGGTCTCAACGGCGTTGGCAACGGTTGGGGCTACTCCAAAGCGGCCAAGAGGATGGATTGAAAGAAAGCACCAACAAAGCGTTCGCGTCACGAGAAATCTGTACGATTTGATCCGATTCATGTATATCTGCTAGCCGCCCCCCTCTTTGAGAGGCTTTTATGATGGATGAGGGGAGTTTTATTTTGATGGACGAATTAAACTGGGATGGCCTTGACCTGCCCACTTGGACTGGGGAAATGGAGTTTTGGAATCGATCATCTGGATCCGCGCACGCGCGGGCTGACGGGAGCAGGATTTGTCGCGATATCTTAATGGAACCAATACCTGCTTCAATGGAGACCCAGCGAACTCCTCTTACTGCAACTTCTTGGTGCTGTCTACGGTGTTCACCCGCTTCAAAATGCGCAGCCACATGTCCAGTCCCATCAGCGCCGCTTTTGAGATCAGCTTAATTTGAAGGTTGATTGCAAATGTCGATTGCACTTACGGATGACCACCCATGGGCCGTAGAGGTTGAAGACAAAGACGTTCTTCTGAGCCTGGCTGTATACGGCAGGATCCCAGTGGAAGACGTCGTAGATGCAGGTCAAGGTCGTGAGGGCGCACTCGACACAGAAGACGAGCACGGCGAGTTCGAACCCGGCAGTTGTGCCAGTATTTCTCGAGAATCTGTAGACCATCCAGGCAGCCATGGGCAGCTGGTAGACGATCTCGATATAGGTGAAGAGCTTGAACCACGAGGGGAGGTTCTCGTGAGACGCGGTGAAGAAGGGGTCGTTGTACGTGGAGATGTAGAAGTCGCGGAGGACTTGGAGGAAGTGTAATGGGGATGAGGGTGCCGCGTAGAGAGCTGATGGGTAGAATGGGACGAGGTCGACCACTGATGAGAGGATGGTCAGCTCTGGCTTCTATGGGTGAGAGGTCGTGAAGGCTGCTGAAAGACCCGAGACGCTCCAGACACCAGAATCCTTAGTCACGACGCCACTGTTCCGCCGACAAGTTTTCATAAATACATGATAGCATATCGATAGATTACAATATTAATTGACGCAAAGCGATAGAGGTTTGACTCACAAAGCATCGCCGTCAGCTGTATGCCAGAGATGACGAGGTACGCGCTGTCGCGCCAAGTTCTTGCTGAGGCAGACATGACAACCTCTTGAGATGACTCAATGCTAGCAGAGCCGGGTGACTTTCTTCTGTGCTCAGATTGAGGACTTGCGCGGATTGATGACAGCCGCTTTACGTTGGTCACGCCGCGTTGAGTTGAGGAAAACATCAGGGATGAGCTGGTAAGCGTAATTTCACGAAAGATCTGTGCTGACATAAGCACCAGTTCAAACGGTGGGTGTAAGTGACGAGACAAGCTTGTCGCCGAAGGATCATTACGACGCTAGAACAAGGTTTCGGAGGAGGATCTTTGGAGTTCACAAAGAGAACAGGCAATCTCTAATGCTACTCTCTATTCCCGACGTACAGAATTGACCTGCCCGACCTCATATATACCTACAGTCTCTCGACGGAAGAAGATCCGAGTCGTGCCCTCTATCGAGCCACTGGTGTCAAGCGCGCCTTCAAGGGGCCTTTATCCCACAAGATAAAGACCTGCTGCTTCTTGGCCCAGTCTTTGTAGTCCTCGTCAATTTCAATGTCAAAGTTCCAAATCAGGCGAGCCAGAATGAGTCTCATCTCAACATAGGCCAGACTGCAGCGGTTAGCGACACATTCCCATGAAATCAGTTGGATGACGACACTCACTTCCGCCCCAAGCAGTTCCGTGAGCCGATGTGGAAAGGTTGGAAAGCTTCCCTGTTATCCGATGCGAATTTCTCATCTCCCATGAATCTCTCGGGGTGAAATCCGTACGGGTCTTTGAAGTACTGCTCGTTGTGGTTTATGGCCCACTGGTGAATCGCCACGATAGTCTAGTAGCAGTATCGTCAGTAATTCCATGCAGGCTAAGTATGAGAGGCTTACCCACGTTCTCAGGTACGAAATTTCCGCAGATAGTCGCTCCACCCTTGGGTGTGACTCTTGGGAGGCCCATGGAGACTGGAGGGTAGACTCTGAGCGCCTCATCCAGGCAAGCAAGCATGTAGGTCAACTTGTTAACAGATACTAGATCGATCTCCTCTTCCGTCTTGAAAGATGATCGTACTTCATCCGTCAGTTTGGCCAGACAATCCCTATTCGTCAGGAGGTAGTAGGTAACTCCGGCCAGTAATGTCGCTGTCGTTTCAGATCCCCCAATGATGAGCGTGTTGCTGTTTGCCGCAAGCGTCTCGAACGAGATATTCTGTTTGACCAGTCATTAGAGAGATAATACTCTGGCAAGGTACTGAAAATGACGAGATGATGATTACCAGTTCGTCCTTCTTCTTCAACAAGCCCTCAATCAAATCAGGCCTGCCACCCTCCTTCTTGCCGAGCTCCATACGCCTCTCCAACTTGGCCTTGGCCCTAGCCAAATTCTCGCCTCTAGCCTTCTTCGCCGCTTTCGTCGCCAAAAGCGTAAAGATGATCTTCTTCAGGAAGGGAAAATGACCTGCGGTCTGCGCGAATACACCCAGGCGAGCCGACTGGAAGATAGCCTTCACCCACGGGTAGTACTCCGACTTCTCCAAGCACCCAAACGGTTCACCAAACGCCAGATCCCCAATGATGTCAAACGTCGTAAAGTTATACCACGACATCAAGTCCACAGGTTCTTCGCCAGAACAATGCTCGTGCAGGCGCTGGATCATAAGATCCACGTACTTCATGATCAGAGGCTGCTGGTCGCGAAGACTTCGCTCGCTAAAGCCGTGGGATAGTTGCCGTCTTAGCATTGCGTGCTCCGCGCCGTTGGTGTTGACGATGTTGATGGGTTGCTCGGCCGTCGGGCGGTAGAATTTTGGGGCTTTTTCGAACGTTGGCGAGCCTGCGGACCGGTGGCCCATGATGTCTTTCCAAGCGTTGACGTTGCAATAAGCCAGTTCGTCTGGAGCGACGCGGACTACGTCTCCGTATTTCTTGTGAAGTTCCAAGACGTCCATAGGAAGGGCGCCCTTGATGAGTCTGTGGCAGAAAGCCCATCTTGTCGCTCTCATGGAAATTGGCCCTGGGTAGTGCCGAAGTGGATGGAGGAAAAGGTTGTAGAAGATGCATGATACTGTGTACACTGCAATCTAGTGTGGTGTCAACTCAAGCAGTATAGGTTCGTCCGACTCTGATTAACTTACAAAAGCAGCGCATGCCGTGATGGCGGTCAAGAAGCTATGTAGAACTGCCATGCTGACGAGAGCCGATACAACGAGCTTTTGGCGTTGTTGCTAGAAAGTTTGGAGGAATAGAGGTTCTTTGAGCTAAATATATCTTCTGCAGACTGCAGGACAATAAGATCCTGAATTTCGCGAACGCGTAGTCTGTTGCGGTCCGCCAAATCTCCTTCAATTGTTGCAAGCCCATCTACAAGGCTGAGTTCAGAAATGGCGAAGTTGCACAACGGGGCGTAGAAGTTGAAGTCGCTAAACTTAAATTCGAACAGTGGTTGATCCCTACGGCCAGAAATAGAGCCCATGCCACTCCTGAGCGACAAGCTAAGAAACCTGTGATAGTGCTGCCTAGAGAAACCAGCAAATCATGAACAGGTACGAAAACGAGGGAGATGTAGAAGGGAAAGGGTAATTCCACGGATTGCTACTGGTTGATGTTGCATAGACCTTTCTCTCGGACGGACACCTGGGGCAGCAGGCGTTCGTTTCAAATTCCGAGGGCCTGGAGCTGTCACCAAGTTCGATCTCAACTCCGTGCCGCAAATTAATCATTGCAGAAGTAGTGGGCCGGCAACGGGGTTCGGTATGGGAATGTCCCAGAATACGGTCCTTTTCTGACATAGCCCAGTTCTTGAGTCGTGGTTGGCGTACGCAGCTACTGCGGTAAGTGGCTAGATGTCGATCTTGCTAATCAAATATTTCATTCCTTAGGAGTGTCGAGTTACGCGTCAAAAGTTTCGGAGTTCAAAAACGATGGCTATGCTATTTGGTCGAATATTGACTCTGTGGTGTACGTTCGTTGTCGTTGTCGTTGTCGCACGTTCGTTGCGGAAGGTGCGATAACGAGAACGAGGTACGAGCGGGAGCTAGTGAGTGATCGACAAAGCAACGGACCAGGATCCATGCGGTCCTGAACGAACTGAACCCTTGGGAGCAATGGCGGCACAGAAATCCATAGATCCACTATTTCTCCAGGCAAATTGGGCTCAGTCGTGTTCAGTAACGCGAACTCTTTTCACGAACTGTAGGATCTGGGGTCTGCTTACGCCAGTATGCGATAGCGGGCAAGGGTCAGGTGATGGAAATCGCAAATAGGAGCGGATTTCGAGATCGGGAATAGTGGATTAAGATAAACGAAGTATCTTTTGGAGAAGATACAGTCCACTGAGGTTGTCACAAGTACGGCAGGATGCGATTTACGCGGGAAACATCACCTTGTATTTGGCCATGTGGTGCCTAACTCTCATCTTGATATACGTGATCTCTATATTCTATCTAGCGCCTGCTCGTTGTGTGAACTGATCTTATCACACTACACATCAAGTTCTCTTACTCTCTTCACTACATCTATACTACGAGTCTTGGCACCCGAGTGATAGCGGCATTATGAAAGGAACTACAAAGTCTAGTTCCACGGAAAAGCAGCATATTCAGAGCTCGCCAACAGAGCCTCCACCAGCCAAAATGGGACCTGGAGAGATTCCCTCTGAGGCAACCTCTGGAGAAATCTCCGACGAGGACGATAGAAATCTCGTCACCTGGGACGGAGCCGACGATCCGCAAAATCCTATGAACTGGCCCGATTCTAGAAAATGGATCAACTTGGTCTTGATGTCGCTTTTGACTATTATCTCGTAAGTTTAGCGCCCGCGATCGACTGGAACCTGGTTTCTCACTAACTCTTTCAAGCCCACTGGTACTTAGACATCTTCCTCTCCGTCAGATGTAGTGACATAGAGCTGACATTTTACAATCATACATAGGGCTCATCTATGTTCGCCCCTGGAATCCCTAGAATCCTCACAGAATTCGAAACCAACGATTCTCTCATCGCAACCTTCATCACCTCGATCTACTTCCTCGGCTTCGTCTTTGGACCTCTGGTGGTAGCGCCTTTGAGCGAGCTTTATGGCCGTGTCTACATTTACCATATCAGCAACGTCTTGTTCGTTTCTTTCTGCGTGGGTGCTGCTCTGAGCACCAGCATCGATATGCTCCTGGCATTTCGCTTCTTGATGGGTGTTGTGGGCTCAGTTCCCACAACAATCGGTGTCGGAAGCATCGTTGATGTCATGCCGATTGAGAAACGCGGACGCTCAATCTCACTCTGGGCAATTGGTCCTCTCCTGGGCCCTTCCATAGGGCCTGTCGCGGGAGGATATTTGATTCAGGCTGCCGGCTGGCGCTGGGTCTATTGGCTACTTGCGATCTTGGTATGTTGATAAATCGTATAGTTAAGTCCAGTACCCATGCTAACAGTCAAAGGGCGGTGTTTGCAGCATTCTGGCGCTGTTGATTATGCGTGAAACCTACGCCCCGGTTCTACTAGAGCGCAAGGCCCGACGCCTACGAACGGAAACTGGGAACCACGCCCTGCGCACAAAGGCTGACCGAGATGGAAAGAAACTGATACAGAGAGCCGTGATCCGGCCATTCAAGTTTCTCTTCATGACGCCATTGGTGTCCATTATTGCCGCCTACGTCGGGATAGCTTACGGAATACTCTACCTGCTGATCGCTACGTTCTCCTTTGTCTACACCGACCAGTATCACTTTAGCGAAGGTGATGCCGGCTTGGCGTTCCTCCCAGCTGGGCTTGGGATGATGATTGGTGTCCTGACTTTTGGCAATGTACAAGATTATCTCGTCAAGAAGGCAAGAGAGGGTATGAGGCCAGGCGAGAAGTATAGGCCAGAGGTAAAGATCACGCCTTGGTTGACGATTCCGACCGGCCTAACGGTACCGATTGGGCTATTCATCTATGGCTGGACGACAGAGAACAAGATCCATTGGATTGTTCCCATGATAGGCGTTGTTATTCTGTCTGGTGGACTCACTGGAGTTACAGTAAGCCTTTCCACTCACTATATGACAATTCGACAGCTAATGTTATCAGATGTGTGTCCAAAATTACCAAATTGATTCGTACGAGAGATATGCAGCGTCAGGTTCAGCAGCTGTCACACTATCCCGATCTCTGATTGGCGCTTTGATGCCCCTTGGGGGATTGAAAATGTATGAAGCCCTGGGTTTGGGATGGGGAAACAGTCTTCTGGGCTTCATGTCCTTGGCACTGGTGCCGGTACCTGTTGGTTTGTTTTTATACGGGGGCATGATTCGGAAGAGGTTCGATCCCGTGCTGTGAGACCGAGTCAAAATGTGATTCGCCGCAGATAAACTAAATTAGGCTTGCACATCTAGAACCCAAATCCATGACTTGTTATGCACGCAAACCTGTCCCCACAACCGAATGCCACTATACTCGTGTTTATGACTGAAGATACATGTATCAATATGTGAACATACCACGTACATCAGCGGAACTTGAAAACCATACTTGCTCGTGTCAAAAGTGTATCACATTATTTGATCTTCCAACAAAGGCTGAGGGAAATGCCATACTAGATTATCAAAATCTCTTTGTTCACACATATTTCAAGCACCGGCCCACAACGCCTATCTGTGTTGAATAAGTCGTTTCAAAATTCATCATGAGCCCACCACAATCATCTAGGTAACATGGCAATAAAGATTCGAACCGGAACAGTACAGCGCATTACGACAACCTGCACTCCACACCCCTCATCTCCCACGTCGTGGTTCTCGCCATCATCCGATCATCGGCTAGTCACCCGCAACATAGGCCCGTTGCTCCCTTCGCGTTTCAAACTTTGGGAGTTGTACCTATGCAGATAATCATGGTCTGCCAGTCTACGAGGCCGGTATCGCAAAGTTAGGGCGGAGATAAAGGCGAAGAACATGCTGATAGTTCCCATTGCGAGATAAGATCTTCCCAAAAAGCTGTTGCGCCGGCCGATGCCAGAAGTTGTAGAAATGATGATAGACTTTGTGCCACGATTTTCACGAACAGGGTAGTCTGCATTTGAAACATTATTATGTCGGGTCATTGGTATCGGGGGATGGTGTGTCAAACGTACGGGAAATGACATCAAGGCGATAGATGCCTCTCTCCATCACTTCGTCTTTGTTGCGCATAGCCATCTTGCTGAACGATGAGGCAGCGGATGTTCGCATCCACACCATGAAAGACTCATCTTCTGCTGGATTAAACATGTTGCCTGAATGATATCCGTTGGGATACCTCTCTGCCCAACCTGGAGGAGGCACAATGACGCTGTCATTGGACTGGGCGGTGACTGGTACTTGGTATTTGCTCGGTTGATACAGTCCCTTTTCAACACTCTTGGCGATACCGACCGATGTCATGTTGTATGGAACGGTCCGGTTTGTACCACTCGGTATGCGCAGCGGGTTCGCGAAAGTGTCGTTGAAGTATGAGTTGGCTATCATGCCGCAAGGGTAAACAATTTTCTCCTCTGCACTACCAGCAACATTTCTTGATGCCACCGGAGCGCAATCTGAGCTCTCGATGCTATTCAATGACACCGCCTCGCCCTTCAGTTGGTCTTTATGACGAGAGTTGACATAGAGACGGTGGTTTTGATGAAAATTCGTAAGCCGGTAGTAGTACAGAACTGGGGGCTGCAAGTCTTCAGGTAGGAAGAATTCTATTGTGCAAAGAGTGTAGTTCTTGGTAACTCCGTCGAAGGTCACGGACTGATTCGACCTTTTCCACTGGTCCACAGGCTGGCCCGCTGACGAAGCCTTGAAGCGTTTTCGGACGTTGTCTGGTGGCATAACTTCAAGCTCGTCGAAGGATTCGATCTCGTCGCACTTTGTGTAGTCTATCTGCATCTCTCGAATCTTCACGTCTGTCAGTGAAGTTTTTTGACAAGAGTGAAACAAGGTACTCCAGCTTACGTTGTCATTTTGAACTAGCCAGAATACCCCCAGTGATAAGCAGACGACGCCAAGTGCAAGGAAGATCTTGATTGATGACTTTGGTGTCAAAAGTGGCCTGGGAGTAAGTGTCAGAAGCTTGAACGGTGGCATGAATTTGGGATCCCGCACTTCCAAGCTTTTAAGCGTTGTTGATTAAATAGTGTCGCCTTTGGCTTTCGCGGTTTCTCCAACTGAGTCGAATCTCCAGACTTGAACCAACCCATCTTATTCGCTCTTGGTCGGATGTTGTCAGCTGAGTTCAGCGTTATCCTTTTCCAGAAATCGAGAATGGTGGGCTTTGTGTCTCTGACAATAGGAGATGGCCACTGTGGTGAAATGAGGTGTAAAGACTGGTCAAGCTTGAACGTCGGATTTTGAATCCAAGGGTTCGCCTGGCAGGTGTTGACTGTTGATAACGTCGTTGCCAAAGCGACTTGAGAGAGGTTCGGTGGCCATTCTGATTACGGAGTTCTCGAAGATCGTCATTTGCACCGCTAGAACGAGGTTGCACTGTCCAGTCCGATGGCCGTTACCGATTTAGCTCAACCATCGCCGGCACTCTGAAACCTTAAGAATGAGCCACTGTCAAGAAGTGAAACATATGTTGACGTACTGAGTCAGTATTAGGCTAGTTGTACTACCCATAGACATGTAAGTCTCTGTCTCCTTGTCGGTCATCTCGAAAAGTCGGCTGGCGATCTGATGCACATGAGATGTGGTTGGCTGAAGGGCGTCGAAACCTACGACTCGCTGGCGTGGGGCCATCTCGTACTCGGAAGTTTCCTATTGGGGCTATGCTCTAAGATAGCGGATCGTTACATCTGTAGCAGCTTGTCTAGGGTCATATTCCTGTGATACAAGGTGCTTTTTGTAGTCTTGGCTCGTTATCGTTTTCTCTTTCGACATCTCTTGGGCCGCTGGAAGGGCCGTGCTCCCGGCCGCTACGGGTGGGTGTTCATCACCAACGAGGCGGATGTGGGTGTTGAAATGGCTTAGATCCCTTGGCAAATGTTGATCTTTGCTCATCTACTTGCGGGTGGTGACTTCTAGGCCAACAGTCAATTCCAAATATACTGACAGCCATTCATCTTGAGGTTGATGCGAAGGATCGTGGACATATGAAGAGGCCATCCTGACGTGAACATCAATGACACAAGACCGCAACAACTCTCTCGATATACTCAGCAAATTTAGTAAAGGCATCCAACAACACACAACCTATCCGGTGGTAGGTTTTGTCATACTTTCTGAGAGGCCTACGCCAGGCTAACCTTGCACCAAACAGACATACGTCTGCGAGATTTCAGATCAGTCTTTCACAGACAACAAGTCTCCACTGTACCCAGCATGGGGTTTGGAGGCTTCAAGTCTTTGCTGTCGAGATCCCGTGTGCCATCACCCTCCACCGGCCGTCGAATCCCGATCCGACTGGAACAGAAGTCTACATTACACGACGAACGTCGTGGCAAGCCGTACATCTCAAACAGCATCAAGACCTCTAAATACAATGTCTTCGACTTCCTGCCCCGGCAACTCCTTTACCAGTTTTCGCGACTCGCCAATGCCTACATGCTCATCATCTCCATCTTGCAAATGATCCCTGGTTTCAGCACCACTGGCAAATTTACAACACTTATCCCTCTTGTTATCTTCTTGGGACTCATTATATCGAAGGAAGGGTACTACGATTGGAAGCGACATCGCCAAGATGTGGCAGAGAACAACCGACAGTCCATGGCTCTTCGGAGTGCCGCATCAGGAGCGAAAGGATCCCTGGCTGCCGGGCCTGAGTACTACGAAGGATCAAATTCAACAGGGCATCAGTGGATGACCGTCAACTGGAAAGATCTCAAAGTCGGAGATATTGTGTCACTTTCAAGAGATGAAGATGTGCCGGCAGATATGGTTTTGTTGCATGCTGATGGGCAAGAAGGGGTGGCCTATGTCGACACGATGGCTTTGGACGGCGAGACCAGTCTCAAATCCAAGCAAAGGCCGGCAAAGCTTCCTAATTGTGGCACGATCGAACAAATCGCCTCTTCCAATGCTGAGTTACTTGCCGAAGACCCCAACGCGGATCTTTATCGCTTCGACAGCAAGCTCACAGTGAATGGCATCACGGTGCCACTCACTATCAACGAGGTTATCTATCGAGGGAGCACAATTCGCAACACGACGAAAGTCATCGGGGTTATCATCAACACGGGAGAGGATTGCAAGATCAGGTTGAACTCGAACAAGGAGACAAAACCTAAGCAGCCGGCGTTGGAGAGGATCACCAACTTCATTGTCGTGTTCTTAATGTTCTACGTCCTAATAAGCTCTGCCGCGACGTCAATGGGTTATCTTGCTTGGAAAGGTTCTGAGGAGGACCACGCTTGGTACTTGTCCGGCGCCTCCGTTCCTTTCGCGGACATCTTTGTCGGCTTCATCATCATGTTCAACAACGTCATTCCGTTGTCTCTCTATGTCGGACTTGAGGCCACAAAGCTAGGCCAAATGACTCTCATCATCAATGACTTGGAGATGTACCACGACGCGACAGATAGCCCTGCAGGAGTCAATACAACTAACAACCTTGACGACCTTGGCCAGATCAGTTATGTCTTTAGTGACAAGACTGGAACCCTGACGGAGAACATCATGAAGCTTCGGAGGCTCAGCATCGCTGGAACTAGCTGGCTTCATCAGATGGATTTACCAGAGCGCTCGACAGCGAGTGCGGACTCGACTTCCAATTTGACAACCGAGCACATGCTTGAGTACATCCGATCGAAGCCCAACTCTTTCTTCGCTTCTAGAGCTATGAAGTACATCTTGGCTATGTCACTTTGCCATACCTGTCTTCCGGAGAGAACTGATGACGGGGAGATTGACTTTCAAGCTTCTTCTCCTGACGAGTTGGCATTAGTCAGGGGTGCGCAGGAGCTCGGTTTCCCCGTCATTCAGCGGTCATCACAGTCTATCACGGTGCAGATACCTCATGCCGACGGCAACAGCTCTTGCACTGTTTTTGAGATCTTGGATGTGATTGAATTCAGCAGCAAGCGCAAGCGTATGACTATAGTTCTTCGTTGTCCGGATGGGAGATTGTGGCTTATCTGCAAGGGGGCCGACTCTATCGTCTTACCCCGGCTACGCATGGCTCCTGCAGACATGAAGAGCACCCGCAACAGCAACACTGAACCTCTGAAGGGCTTAACCTCAATGCCATCACGCTGGAGTTCACGAAGGTCGAGACTTCCTGCTGAGACAGTTTCCGAGATAAGAGAGAACGACGACCGCTCAGTTTATAGTCAAACGTCAGGAGATTTCGACGAGTTCGGGATTCGGCTCCAGCCACAACGGCCGCAGAATAACTTGGCACGCGATAGACAAAACGACCAGTCTCGGTTCGGATTTCTGGAGGGATCCTGGATTGCGGATGAGACTCGGACCCTTCGTGAGTGTTTTGCTCACATTGACGACTACGCAACCGAGGGACTGCGCACTTTGGTCTACGCGGACAAGTTCCTCGACCCCGAAGAGTACAACAACTGGAAACACCTCCACCACGAAGCCGAGACTAGCCTTGTGAACCGTCAAGAGCGCATCGAGGAGGTGAGCGAGCTACTGGAGCAGTCTCTCGATCTCGTGGGAGCTTCTGCAGTGGAGGACAAGCTGCAGACTGGGGTACCGGAAACGATTGAGAAGCTACGGCAGGCTAGGATTAAGATTTGGATGCTTACTGGCGACAAGCGAGAGACGGCCATCAACATCGCTCATTCGACACGGATCGTTGGTCCCGATACTTCTCTTTTCGTACTAGACATCGAGAAAGGTGACCTTGAGTTGCAACTTACCGGCATTGCGGACGAGGTCCAATATGGTCTCCCACAGGTGTATTCTGACCCGACTCGCTCGCACACGGCAATAGTGATCGACGGCGAGACTTTGACTGCAATCGAAGACCCATCCGCGATTCGACTCCGTCAATTGTTTGTCACAATGATGACCAAGGTCGACTCTGTTATTTGCTGTCGTGCATCGCCTGCCCAAAAAGCCCTGCTCGTAACTGAAATCGGCAAAGGCCCGCAGAAGAAGTCGCGATGGTATAGTTGGCTTAGTCCAACCTCCAATAAGCCCCTGACTCTTGCTATCGGCGACGGTGCCAACGACCTGGCCATGATCTCTGCTGCCAATGTCGGTGTTGGCATCTCTGGCAGAGAGGGTCAACAGGCCGCTCGAGTCGCGGACTTCAGCATCTCTCAGTTTCGGTATCTGTCTCGGCTGGTACTTGTTCATGGCCGTTGGAACTACTACCGCACGACACGTTTCATCTTGGCCACGTTCTGGAAGGAGACCTTTTTCTACCTCCCGCAGGCACTCTTTCAAGAGCAGACTGGGGCCACGGGCACGAGTTTGTACGAACCAGGAAGTCTGACTTTTGTGAGTTTCTTCACTGCGGCTTGCATCCTCGTTATTGGAACTTGGGAACAAGATCTCCACTCGCGCACTCTGACTGTGGTCCCGGAGCTGTTCAAGTATGGACAAAATGCTGAGGGTCTGAATATGTCGGTGTACTTTAGCTGGTTCAGTAACGCAATGATTTCTGGACTCATTGTCTATGCTGGCGCCTGGGCGGGTTACACGGACTCTGAAATGATTGAAGATGACGGGCTGTATGCGCAAGGATTGCTGACATTTGTGCTATGTGGGGTTTGGGTCAACATTAAGTTACTGTGAGTACGTCCAAGCTTAGATTCCATGATAAACTTGCTGACTTGAAACAGGGTCATTGAGCTACATTACAAAACCAGAGTTGCCCTCTGGTCCATCGTCGGCAGTATCGCGGTACTGTGGGCCTATTTGCTTGTAGCGGGTGCCATCTCTTCACCAAGCGCGGGCCCGTATTCTGTTCGCGGGGGGCTGATATCAGAATTTGGCAGGGATCCAGCATGGTGGTCTACGCTCATTATGGTGCTGTGTGCACTGCTTCTGATGGAGATGGCTACGAAGGCACTGAGGCAGAGCCACGTCTTGCGAGCTTGGCTGTCGAGGTGTTGGTCTTCGAGTGAAAGAGTGGATGGCAAGGGAGGTGGTGTGCGGGAGGGCTTCAACGACTGGGAGCC